TAATTGTTTGGCTGTCAGTGACGTGGGCATAACTCCACGCAAATTTAGCCAAAAGTACAGAACCTAAAAATGTGTTCCAAATTTTCAACATCTAAACCACAGTAGTCACATAACTCATTCATTGGCATACCTCGTTGTATAAGTTTCTCCTTCATTGGAATGGCATCATAAAAAAGCTTCCAAATGAACATGCTCCATTTTGGTGGAATATGAAGCCTCCAGATAATTTTAAAGAAAGTATTACGGTCCATATCATGATCCATTTCTTGGCCATGTACATTATTCGAGAGGAAGCTATACACTGTTTTAACTTTAAACTTCCAAGAGGAGTGGATAGGCTAATAAAGGAAATCATCAGCCTTATCTTTCGGTAACTCCATCCCTAAAACTGCACTTATGCTATCCCATTCGAACTTTTCTCTAACAAACGAAGCATTCCAGGAGCCAGTATTTTGATCGATAAAATCCTTAACCATCCATTGCATACTATCGCGAAGATTTTGATTAGATCTAACCACTGGGACTTTCCCATTAACCAATTTACTACTGCACGCCAGAATGTTGTCCCCACTTCCAATTTTCCACGCAGACCCCGGGAGAAACATGGAAGCGACCTTGTGGAAACCTTTACGTGCATAAGATATGGTCCCTGCCACCTGTTTCGTAGGAATACCATAACACATGACACATGGAATTTTTGCATTGAAAACCTTATATGCAACGAGTTGTGGATTCTTATGCATCCTTAGAACACTTTTGAAGAGAAGAGTATCATTCATCGTACTAGTAGCTCGAATCCCTAGTCCGCCCATTCCTTTTGGTAACTGAATAATTGATTTCCTAAGCTAGTGAATACCTTTTTCTCCACTTGTTGCCCACCAAAATCTAGTTATGATTGAATCTAGTTTATTCGCAATAGATAATGGAAGTTTCAGGGACTTCATAACATGAGCGGAAATACCCATAAGAACAGAGTTTATGAGAACTAGTTTTGAGGATTGTGACAGTTTGCACGTAGACCATGATAAGATTTTTGTTTTAACTTTCTCTACAAGATAATTAAAACTATCCACCTTTTTTTTCCGTAATATCAATCAGACTTCCCAAATGTGTTCCCATAATTTGAACACTAGGGATTTGGAGAATATTCTTAAATTCAGTGGCAAGTTCCGGTGGAACAGAAGGAGTAAATTTAATCTGTGATTTCTAAAAATGTATCCAAATCTAGACAGTATGTCCCAAATATTTATACAAGACGTAGATACAACTTTGAAAAAGAACATAGCATCATCCGCAAAGAAAAGATGAGAAATTTTTGGTGCTCTTCTTGCAGTTTTAATACGTTCCAAAACGTTTTATGTCTTCCGCCTACAATAACATTCTAGATAAAACGTCCATACAAAAAAGAAATAAATAAGAAGATAAAGGATCACCTTGACGCAGGCCACAGTGTGGCTTAAAGCCCTGTGTCGTTTTCCCATTCACAATGGCTTTGAAAGAAACGGTTGAAATGCATTGAGAAATCCATTGTATCCATCGATTAGGAAAACCATAAGCATGTAGAACCTTAAAAAAAGGTCCAATCCACACGATCATAAGCTTTCGACATATTGATTTTTAGAGCAGCCAGATGAGTCGAATATTTTTTCATGTTTATGTAGTGGATAAGCTCCTGAGACAAGTAAACATTATCCTCCATATGACACCTAGGAAATAAAAGCATGTTGGTAATCCGAGATTAACAACGGTAAGATTTTTTTCATACGTGTCACCATAAGCGGTTTTGAGCCGGAGCAAGGTGGGCGACGGAGCAGGGCCCCCAAATTTGAGGGGCCCCAAAATATAGATATATGTAATTAATTTTGGAATAATAACATAAAATTACAGATGGACTAGTGGTTTGAGTTAATATGCTTCTTATGTATGAGAGATCTCAAGTTCAAGCCTTGGGTCCAACAATTTTTTTACTTTTTGGGAAATAAAGTGAAAGCTGGCATTGAATAAGGTTGAGCTTTGAGCGTCCAAACATTGAATGAAGTTATTACTTTGTCTCTAGAATTCTCCACCCAAACCCAAAATTAGATCTTTCCTTTTTCCAAATAATTTTTTCTCTCAAAATTTTTTCAATTTATTATTTTAATTTCCAAAAAAACTCTATATCTTCCAAAATTAATTTCACATTTAACTAATAAACTTATTGTTTAATTTTGACAAATTTTCTAATGTAATGAATTTTTTTAACAAAAAATATGGGTATTTAATTTATTGAGTAGAGGGCCCCATTAAGAGAAGTTGAACAGGACCACATAAATAATTTGCAATTATAACCCCGGTACTGTGTCACTAGGCACTTTGCAATACACTTATACCCAGTATTATAGAGGCTAATAGGTCTAAAGTGAGCAACTTTTTCTGGTGACTCCACCTTTAGAAAAAGGACCAAAAGCGACGTATTTAGCTCCGTTAAGAGAAAGCATGTGTCAAAGAAATTTTGGACACTCTTCATAACAGTTTGTCCAACCACTTCCCAATGTATTTTAAAAAATTCTGCTATAAAGCCGTCCCTTCCGGGAGACTTGGAGGAATGAATATCAAACATAGCATGTTTAATTTCTTCCGGAGTAAAGGGTTTCTCCAAATCGCTTGATAAATGTGAAGGAACAACGGGAAAATTAATCTCTCGTAGAATCAAGTCAATATTTTCTTCGTGGCTTGGGTCAGTTGCTGGTTGATAAGCACTTTTTAAATTATTAAAAGATAATTCAGCTATTTTTTCCTGTCCTTCCCGCCATTCACTATCATCATTGCACAAGGTTAAAATTTCTTTCCTCTTTTCTTTTGTTTAACTTTGTTAAACAAACGTTTCGTAGGAGCATCACCTTCTTTGAGCCACTTAGCCTTTAGTTTATGTTGCCAATAACAGTTTTGAAGTTGGCATTCCGGAATAATCTGATTTATGTGTTGCACTAAATGATTACCATTATTCAGATTTGAGATATAGATAAGGAAAGCACTTCAAAGAAATTTACCGCTTCGTGTTCGTGGCACAGTGTGGTGTGCCTAAGTCGTAACTGACATTCCAGTTTTATGAGATTGTTCAGTTACGAAGTCCGCAACAACATTTGAATCGGTCTTTGTAACTGCTCGCTGATTTTCCTCCACGATTATTTGCGTGGCTTGATTATCTCTGACAGTTATAGATTACTTCTTCTATATATTTTGATTTTTCGTGGCTTTTGAAACACAAAAAAATTCTTTCATCTCCTCTGCGATTGTTTTGAGCATTGTTGTGAGTTCCTATTCTCCCTTTTTGAGTGCACATCAAGGGAGATCGCTGTGTTAAATCTAGGAGGGCAACGCCATCTCCGATTGCACTATAGTCGGGGCGAATTTTGCTTCTGAGACAGTGTTCCTAACACGTCACAGCGTTATACATACATTAAACAAACACAACCTACATTACAATTTCTTTTCTGATTTTACAGTTCTCCAACCTACAGTAAACACCATGATTCAACTTTGGTATGGGTGATTGACAACAAGTTGTAAAGGATTGAGATCAAAAGTTATAGCCGCATGACCAGAGATAGAAATAGGTTCATGAGTGATTCTTCCATTCCCAAATTCATCAAACCACTCTGAAGTTACATAACCCCTATCCAATCTTTCTAAAATCAGCCCGTTCTCAAGCCTCTTATGTGTCCAAGTAAACCTCAGCATCGAGAAAGAAATTTCTAAAATATCATTATGAAGTCTCCAATCTATATAATCATCAACCCCTCATATTGTTGAACTCCCTCCAAATTTATCCGCTAAATACTCAATTTGATTAAAATCTCTAATTAGCAAGCATTTAGGATAACTACTAATAATATCAATCAAAGCATTCCAAACCAAAGCCAGGTCCTCAACAGCCGGAGCGCCATACACCAAAACTATATATTTTGATATTCCACTAAGATCAACAATATTACACAGAATAATACTTTGAGAGCAAAAGATTGGTGTAATTGAAGCATTACAATTACACCAAGAAAAGACAGCCAAGCCGCCCCTAGAACCTACAGCATCAATACCATAAGCAAAATTAGGGGAAAGATAAGCCAAATTAGAGTTAACATCAGTTACAGTCATTTTAGTTTCACATAAGAACAAAAGAGATGCTTCTTAGTGTTAATTAACCACACTAGATAAGGAATTTTAGGGGCGTGTGGATCGTTTAAACCCCTACAATTCCATGAGGTAATCTTCATTTTGAACTCGGTGGCTGAAACGATGCAGCCTCCTCACCAAGATGCAGTACAAATGATTGTTGTTCGCAGACGATTCACCAACTTCAAAACTGGAAGGATTTGCAAAATTAATACCAGAATTTGGAAAGCTGCAACGAACTGGAGATGGTAAAGGTTCAATTGGATTTTTCCCTTTATCTTGAAATTCCTGGGTTCCCCTTACATTAGAGGCTTGGCCCAAATAAGACTTAATTCATGGGCTGGTCGCCGGTCCTCTTATGGGCTTGGATTAATTCTCAAAGCAGAGTTGAAACGATTTGGGCGATTCCCATCACCATTCATAGGATGAGATGGATAATATCGAGCATACGGATTGAATCCAAGCCCAAATCTGGTTCCAGATTGCCAAACCATATTAGATCTATCACTAGGGCTGGCAAATGGATCAGGTCGGGTCGGGTTCGTGTTCGGGTCACCTAAATTTCGGGTCAGCTACCCCCAACCCGAACCTGATCCATTTAATTTTTCGGGTTGAAAACCCTAACCTGAACCTGATATTTTCAGGTTCGGGTCAACCCGAAATTGACCTTATTTGACCTGATTTTTTATTTGGGTTAAAATCAGGTTTCTTTGACCTGAAATTAACCCGACCCAAACCTGATATATTCAGGTTTGGGTTAACCCAAAATTGACCTGAATAACTTTTTTTTCATTTCAAATACAAGTTGTTCAGGTTAAGCATTTTAATTCAAACCAAAATTAAATAGCTTAGTCTAACAAAGTAACAATCCTACTTAACGATAATAAACCAATAAAAATTGTAATTCACTAATTACAAACCAAAGATAAAGTTTTAATAACACAAATTACAGTTTTCAAAAAATAATAGAAGATGCAATAAGATTTTCATTTGGATTAAGATCGGGCGATGTTGGGACTGTCAATTTGTCATGGCTGTCATCCTTGTTCACCACCTCAAGCTTCAAAATTGATCCACAACATTTCCAATTGAACATGGGTGGGCTACTTCTTGCTGCCAAACCTATAAAGAAAAACAACACTAACATAATTAAAACATGCAATTCTAAATCAGACTATATTAACACTAACACCTCAAGCTTCATAATTAACACAACATTTCCAATTGAACATGGGTGGGCTACTTCTTGCTGCCAAACCTATAAAGAAAAACAACACTAACATAATTAAAACATGCAATTCTAAATCAGACTATATTATCTAGATTTAACTAGTAAGATCTAAATTAAAACATGCATGCTCATGATAAACAAAAGTAAACAACAAATATTAGCAAGAATCACCATAACATAGACAACATTTAACAATAAAAATTAGCATTAACAATAAAAAATTAGCAAAAACAACCGTATAATAACATAATCAACAACATTTAACATCAGAATTTAGTAATAACACTCGAAAATTAGCATGTAAAAAACTAAAATAAACGGAAGCAAGTAAATATAAAATTAACAACAGAAGAATTAGAAAATAAACAAAACTAGCATATAAAAAACATGAAAAAAAAACAGAAAATAAATTAAGAAGCAAGATACCTTTGATGAAGGAGAGGAATTCGTGGAGGAGTGAAGGATTCAAGCCGTCAAGGAAATGACAATGGTAAAGTTGGGCTTAACGGAACTACCTCTGTCGAATTTTTGAGTTTTTGAGGAGAGAGAAAATTAAAGAGAGAGAAGTGAGGGGAAAAACGGCTGAAGATCAATGAGGGGAAATGAGTTCATTTAGGGTATTGAATTTATATATGGAAGCCTCTTTGTGAATTTGGGCCGGGCTTAATGAGCTTTTTACGTTTTTTTTTCTTTTTCTTACTTAAATTAGTTCGGGTTATCAGGTCGGGTTCGGGTTGACCCGACCTGATTTTGACCTGAAATTTATTTCGGGTTAAGTGGGTCGTTTTCGGGTTGAGATTTTCAACCTTAACCTAACCCATTTAATTTCGGGTTCGGGTTCGTGTCGACCCATTTAAGTTTTTGGGTCGGAAACCTCAACCCTAACCCGCTTTTTTCGGATCGGGTTCGGGTCGGGTTTTTGGGTCGGGTCAGTTTTTGCCAGCCCTATCTATCACCATCACGCGTTTCTTCAATCTCATCAGAATCAGAACTTCCTTCCGAAACAGAGTAGTATCGTTCCGTGCCACCACTCCCCGAGCTGTCTCTTGATAGATCCGAATCTCCCTTCCATTCCTATCCATGAAAGGAATGACTTCTGGTTCCGACGGTCGAATTAGATTGACTTTCGGATTTCTATAGCGAAAAATATCCGGAAGCCCCTTTACATAGTTGGTGTAATACGCCTGCTGCCCAGGTCCATACAACACACGCATCCCTCGTCGCTCTAGTGCTGCTAGCCTACACCGAGGCTTACAAGAGGACACATCCTTCTTCACCTTGCATCTTTCACTGTGATGACCAATATAACCACAAGATTTATTAAATTTAAAAGCACCTTCATGCCTAAAAAAGGCCCACACCACTCGATCTCCTTCTACTGGTACAAAGCATCCCGGAATAAGGAGTTGCGAAGTGTCGACTAGCATCCGCACCCTGATGTTTGCATGCATGGGCAATCCAACACCCACCTGTTCATATTCCTCTATAAAGCCCACATGCGAGAGGATCTGATTTGCCCATTCACGTGTAAGATAAAGCAGGGGAAGCCCCTGTACTCTAACCCACAACCTTGTAGTATCAAAGTTTATTTCTTGAGGGATAAAGGAGCGGTGATAGCGCCTAAGGTTGATGATTCTTCCCTCAAAGACAGTCGAGTGTTGCCTTATGATTCCATCCAAATCATAAGCATCGTAACACTCAAAAAGATAATAGATTCCAGATTGATGGACACGAATTACACCTCTTCGTATCCACCTAGAATTGACATAAGTAACAGTTGGAGGATAGGGTCCAAGAAAGACACCTATAGCACTTCGATTATAATTGACTGGTCCCAAAAAGCTAAAGTTAGCTGGAGGGGCTGCTAAAATACCCATTCTTTGATCCTCCAGAATCCCCATTGTTCTTCCTAGATATACTCTTTTAAAATAAGTATGTTGAGAATAGATTTTTAATATCATGTTTTGAATGGTTTGAATTATTATTTATCACGATTAAAAGGTTTGATTTTAAAAGCATATTGAATTGAATAAAAAAGTGTTTTTGAGTTAACCTATTATAAAGGTTGAATTTTTGATTTAATGAGTTAATGAGTTAATGAAGAATTATTAAATTATTTATTAAAGCTTTACAAGCATGATTATATTAATTCCACTATACGGATTTGGTTGATAAGACTTTGGGCTTTGTATGACCGAGTCTTTTCCTCAAGGATAACCTTTCAATATAAAGATACTAACTTGGGGGGTGTGCACACTTAGGAGAGGAATTGAGTTTTAAAAAGAGGAATTGATTTTATAAATCATTATTATTGAATTATTGAGTTATTGGAATCATTTTGAGAATTGGTCTTGAATTATGAGGATTGGATTGTTGAAATAAATATTGGAATTTCCATGATTAATTTTAAAAGCATGTTTGCCAATAAATTGAGTTTACTTATCTTGCACTTAAATGTACTTGTCATATTTTGCTAATCCGTATTTCCTCTTTGTTTTGGTTCGCCCTATTTACGTACCTTAATGGTAAGCAGTGTTGACTATTTCAAGTAAAGTCTTGATTGAGTATATAGGAGTCCCGAGATTTGCTTCACCTAGATTAGGAGTGTTGGTTTTTGTTTTGTTTATGAGTACTCATGAAAATGGTTAATATTTCTTAAGTATTAATAAAACAAGAGTTGAGTTTTCCGCTGCAAGATTGTTATTGAGTTAAGTATTTTGAGTAGCCTTGCGTAATCACGCGGCGGTACTATGCCTAAGTGATCTATCTCTATGGTATAATTATACGTATTGTACTAATATCTCCATAGAGGGAGATTTGGGGGTGTTACACACCATTTCAAGAGATAGAGGAAACATCGTAGGGTACAATGAGACTTCCACCCCTTTGAGAGACATGGTTGCTTGGAATGCCTTGAGATGAAAAATGGGATTGTCTATAGGCTTGAACTTTGGGATGTCGGTCGTAGAGAATTTCTCCAAAAGATTTTCTATAACAGCCGAAAGACCCGCTGGTACTTCATAAGAGTATTCATCAACAAGCTTGTTGATTTTTTCAGTCATCCTCTTGATTTTTGCAGGAGAAGCGACTTCTTCCACAGTCATTACTCGGGTAGTAAGGTTTTGGAGCATAGCAGTGATGCCCTCAACAGATTTTATGAGTCCATCAACATCTTCCTTATAGTAGCCATTCTTTGAAAGAGAAGCGGTTCTTGAAGAGCTAAGCCGACTTGATTTCTACACTTGTTCCTTCTAGTTCGAAGGGACGATTGTAGTTGTGCGGATGCGGTGTCTCTTCGAACTATTCTTCCTCTACTTCTTGTCCACTCGCTGTAGAAATCACACAAGATTGATTCAATGACTCGACTGGACTAGAATAAAGGTTTATGAAAAGACTATTTTGGAAAAAAAGTTACATAAAGTTAAAAAAAAAAGTTACGTAAAGTTATATATAAAATCATATGTATCGGAGGATGTATATCCGACTTAATTACTCCCTAAAAAAATGACAGAAAAACGACACATGCATGCTCTTAAATATGATTATAGGATACAGTGTGTATGACAACACAACTTAACTAAATGATGATATAACTAACAACATATATATGGAGCGAGTCGACTCATACACGTTGTGTGCGACTGTAGAGAATTTTTCAACTCCACCCTACTGTGGTGTCATGTTTTTAAGCATGGTGGCACTCCAAGGAAAAGAAGCTAGAGAAAAAGAGTCACCAACAAGTTTTAGGAACTTGTAAACCGTTCACGGGTGTGAAGATTACACCCCATTCACAATCACAAAGATTGCTAACTCCATAGTGGTCCGGAACCATGACTGGATGTTTGGAGATAATGGTACGAATTTAACCTAAGAGAAGCCAAACCCACCCTAAATAGGCCTCTATTTGATTTTTATTGATATTCATGCGCGCTTTTCGATCAACATACATACATCAAATTAATCCTAAACGTGTTTAATCTACATTGGTTGATTATTAATGCATAATCAAAATCTATTATTGGCGGTCACTTGAATTAAAATCATATTAGCCTAATTAAAATTGTTAATTATATTATTAGGCGTGATTTCAAGTACAAATTTCCTTTGAACTTGCAAAAAGGGGCGTGATCAAGCAATAACAATAAATCATGAATAATTAAGCAACATGTGATTAATATAATAATCATCATCATAAGAACATCATCAAAACATCGTTAGTAGTAAGATCCTAGGCATGATACTAAACAGATTTATAACAAATCCTAGCATGTCACTAATAACAAAATCAAAGCGTCATCCTAAACATGATACTTGAAATCATAACAAGCATCCTAAACATGGTACTAGGAATCAAAATAATATCGTAAACATGATTTCTACTCCAAAAAAATAATAAGGGTAATTGAATTACTCACTTTAATGCCTCAACCTTCTTGCTATTAAAACAATACACACGTAAGTAACCTTCAAGAAAGTTAAATCAATAAAGTAAATAAATCAAATAAGAATTGAACTATAGATTTTGGTACCAAACCCTCAAAAGTCAAAACTATCAACCTTTCACGTCGAGGTCGAAGGCAACGTCGAGTACGGCTAGGAGTATTCGAATCTCGCGAAGGAAGTATTGTGTCTGATTTAGGAGAATATCAAGGATATGTTTAGGCTAAGGTTAAGAACATGAATATATTGAATGATGATTGATGATAGTTGTGGCTAGGTAACAAGTAATTATTGTCCATGATCTAAAACGAGGAAAACAAACTATGTTTATAAGGAAAACAGAGATTCTGGACGATCATAAAAAGATCAGAAGTTGAAAGGAAATAAAACTGTTTTTGACGCGTCGCGTTGGGTCTGACGCACCGCACTAGGTGCCAACACGCCGCGTTAGGGCTATCTCCATGCGTTGGTCCTGACGTTGCACGCTGGTTCTAAAGGATAGCAAAATCGTACAGAGTTTGATTTCTAACGGAATTGTATTTCCAAAAGATATCCGGACGTCTTCGTATTCGAATAGAACAAGGATTATTTTACGAGATGTATGTTTTATTCAATCTCGAACTTCTTTGATCTTTACCCTTTCGAGAAGGATAAATTAGAACCTTCTAGAAGTTTCTATAGGATCCTAACTGGTTTAGGATTGGGTATATGATTATATAAGATATTTGGACTCCACATAACCATTGGGTCGTAGCTAAGGTGGACTTAGGCTCGATTTTGGCCCAGTTTAGTATTTTGGCCATAACTTATTCGTTTTAAGTTGGATTTTGGCTTATAATGTATCGTTGGAAAGCTCTTTTCAATACCCATCCAACTAAAATTATTGGACTGGGATCATGGAGCAAAATAAGCAAGTTTGGACGTTTTAATGACTTAGACACGAAATAAATGACTTTAAGGACACGAAAGAATGTTTTTGGGTTAAAACATTTTAGGAAAGGTTAGAAATATGGTCAGGACTTAAGGAAACTTCGCGAGACTCTTCAAATCTTTACCAAACTTGTTAATCAAAGACGTGAAAGGTACTCATCACTGGGGTTGGTTTTTTGGGGAGACACAATCAGGTTTCTACAAAAGCCCCCACTTTGACTGAGTTTGGAGAAACGTAAGTTTTGAAAACGCAATTCAAAGTATATCAATAGGGACGGAGAACTTTTAGAACGTTCTCCGATCCTAAATCATCTTTTTTAACGTCGATACCTGCAGAAAGCGTCAGTTCTACAAATAAAGGAGTTAAGGGGAAAGAATGCGTACCTGGGATTGCCGAGCACACGTCTCTGGGTGACATCTTGTTAACTCAATTTGACTCCAAATTCTCAGGGAGCGTCATCGAAGATCACTTTGCTTTGAGCCGTCTTCTCGAATCAAGGGACAACCTCCTCATTCTCAGGGAGCGCTGTCAATCTGAAATGTGTTTGCGCGTCTCTGAACACAGGAACTTTTGGAAGGGATGTTCACGCGTCTCTGAACACAAGAGCTTTTTGGAAGGAATGTCCACACGTCTCTGAGCATAAGAGTTTTGAAAAGGATGTCCACTCGTCTCTAAACATAAGAGCTTTGAAAAGGATTGTCCACGCGTCTCTGAACATAAGAGCTTTGAAAAGGATTGTCCACGCATCTCTAAACATAAGAGCTTTGAAAAGGATTTTCCACACGTCTCTAAACATAAGAGCTTTGAGAAGAAATGTTCATTCGTCTCTGAACAAAAGAGCTTTTGGAAAGGTGAGAGTGTTCGATTGGCTGCGAACGGGAGCTTCAAAGAATTGCTTTTTGGAATGGTGAGATTGTTCGATTGGCTACGAACAGGAGCTTTGATGATTTGGTGAGATTGCTCGATTGACTTTGAACAGAAGCTTTGATAAATAGGTATAATGAGATTGCTCGATTGACTCCGAACAGAAGCTTCGATGAATAGGTATAATGAGATTGCTCGATTGACTTCGAACAGAAGCTTCGATGAATAGGTGTATCCTGTAAAATCAAATATTGCCAAAGGACTTTGCTGGTGGTTTTCTTGGGGTTGACCTAAGACTTGGTGTACTTGACTCATTGTGTGACTCAATGTACTCAAATCAACTCGATGTGTTTCGACACGACCTAGCTTAAGGTAAATGACTCGTGTGTGTAGAGTGTAGACTCAACTCAATGTGGTGACACGACATGACTCAATGTGCATGGCTTGTGTGTGCATTGTGCTCATGCGACTCGAAAATGCAGAAAATCAAAAGATTTTCGTCATTTTTGTGGAGGGTACCGACTTTCTCTCGGAAAGAAAGATGTGAAAATGAAAAGAGGTAAAGTGTTGGTGAATATTGAAGTTTTTGAACTTTCCCAAAAAGGAAAAAGATGAAAAGAATGAATCAAGTAATGATGCAAGTTGAATGAGCTTAATC